ATTCACCATTAACAAATCTGGGGAAAGCAGTTTCAATTATACTAATAAATAACTATGTGGTCAAAGGACAGGTAGAGAAACCGAATTATGTTGAGGGGCAGAAATGTCCAAAAAAAATCAGACGGAGCGACACCTCGAAGTGCACCCCTCTTCTAATAATAGAGATAAGGAAACTGTTTTCCTAAAAGTAATATTTTCTTATCTCCATTTTATATTCCGTCTTTATTTTGCTTTCTCACACTGACGCTCACCTCTCTCTCCGTTTCACGCTCTCTCTTCCTCTCTCTAGTTTTCATCTGGAAATTAGATTCCGAGAAACACACAATTATGAATCTCAAACGTCATGTACAAGCAGTTCTAGTTTAATTGTTTTGAGAGAAGAGAAAAAGATAAATCTTAAATCCCTTCTATTGTTATTGTGTTTTTCTTTTCATTCTCTTTTTATAACACTAACTATTCTTACAACTACATTTTTGCAGCAAAATACTGTCCACTACTGTATCACTATTTACAGCAAATTATGTGAAAAAATGGAAAGAGTTCTTTCCCCAAAAAGAAATGAGGCTAACACCTTCTTTTGATGGAAGAGTTGTATGTTATCCATCAAATGTGAATCTCCGCGATTATTTGGCTTGGAGGCAAGTAGATTGTAAGTAACAAGTAAAGATATAGCCTAATCTGTAAGTTTGAATCACACAATTTTGAAAGGCAGTATGATATGTTAATCTGATTATCTTGGGAGCAAAGATTCAGCTATGGTTCTTCTTGGGACAGCAAACCATGCCTCCCTTCAATTACACTCGTAGTTTATCTACAATTGATGGTTTAAGAGGACTTCTGTGCTGTCCCAACTCCGAAGGATCATAGCTGAATCAATGCTCGATATAACAGTTGATCCAATTTCAATTGACATCATGTTTTTTTCCTTAATTTTCAAGAAATTTGTTGATTTCATTTTAAGATATAACCTTGGTCTTTACAGGTCACATAAACAATCAATACAATACGTGTTTTTGGATGTTGGTCCTTAACAAAGACAAGACGAAAAAAGAAGCTCAAGACATTTTAAAGGTTCTAAACTTTTTCCTTTTTTCGTAAAATCTCATCTTTTCTGTTCCTGATATTGAAGGAGTACATTTACTAGGTTTTGGTTGTTGTGTATCCTATTTGTCTTTTCAGAAAACCATTATTATATTATAGTTCTGATATGCAAATAAGCTTGGTGTTGGTTTATGTTCCCATAACCATAACGTATCTTTCTGTTTTTCTGCCAGGGTACCCAAACACAAGATAAGAATGAATTACTTTTCCAACAATTCAATATCAATTACAGCAACCTGCCAGCTATCTTCCGCAAAGGATCATGCGTTTTTAAGGACAAGGTTCTCTCTCT